AAAAAGTGCAAAATGACACCAAAATGTTGACAAGTAGGAACAAAATGATCACAGAGATACTAAAAGACAGCCAAGAAGAGCAGCGCTAATTGTAAGCATGTTAGGGGGCTAAACCAGGAGGCCTGAGGCAGAGATGAGCTGCAGACCGACCATGTGTTTATTCACCAACATTAACAATGCCAAACCATAACACATAATAAAGCGATGCAGCCCAGTGGTGGGACATGGTTCCAGCAGCCTCTGATGTCAGTGCACTGCTGCTAACCCTCGACCATAACCTCATCTGGGGTTACCTGCTAAACCAAACTAAAAACTGCAAGGATTTTCTGCAGGGAGAAAATGTACGTGAGACACAATCTTGTCACCAGAATACTCAGGATATAATTTGGCCCTCCTACCTACGGATGCACATCAGGTAAATATTAAAGTAATATTTCCCACCTAGGCAGACAATAACCAGCACTCACTGAAGGACTGCCAACAAGAAGAACCTGAAGACAAATAACCAATAAAACCAGACTTGTTCTATGACTGTCATCTTTTACACAAATGTCATGATTACTCATGTATGTTAATCTGGCCAAGCAATGAAGAAGACCTTCATTACACATTAAAAGGTAATAAGTAACCATAAAGAAGCCCTTTTAAGCACGAGCGCTGGAAAACAACAGGGACAAATTATGCAAAGTCAAACTATGTAAAATCATCCAATAGTCCACTTCACATGCACCGTCAGAACCGTTGGGTTTATGTGCAGCTTGGATAGAGTGTCAGGGGGCAGGACACATGGAAACCTTTGCTGTGAATGAAGGAGAAAATTACCCACACTGTTGTCTGTGCTGCAGGACATCACAGTTTCTGTTGGAGACCTGGTAGGACTCCGCTAAGGCCAACAGTATCAGACTTTTTCTTCAATTCAGTGTTATTGATACAGCGCCAATTCACAGCAACAGTCGCCTCAAGGTGCTTTATATTGTAAAGTAGACCCTACAATAAAACATATAGAGAAAACCCCAACAAGCACTTTGGCGACAGTGGGAAGGAAAAACTCCCTTTTAACAGGAAGAAACCTCCAGCAGAACCAGGCTCAGGGA